GGGGGGACACTGAGGGAAGGGCGGGGTGGCGTGTGGCAGCGCTTGCCGGCCGCATGTGGCGGAGGTAGACGGTTGAGGTGGGGTAGGCGGGGGTGATTGTGTGAGGAAGAAGAAGATGGGGTTAAAGATGAACAATGCACGATATGTTTTTGGCCGTTGGATAAAGATATAGCGGTCCTGACGAAAGTGACCGACGCGGATGAAATTTTCAGATACCTAATGTATAGGCACTCTCATATTGAAAACTTAACTTCACCCTTCATGCCTTACCCACTACAACCACCTCCATCCTCCCTATTTTTTTCTCCACCACGGATCAATCGCTTCCTCAAAACTCTCCCGACTCTGATGAAACTCATCATCATAACCTCTAACTTGTCATCGCCTAGCCTTTACCTTGCTATTAGCTTTGACTCGAGGTGAATCTTGTCTCAACAATATCGTTCGAGTTCCTGGTTATGAAGACGAAAGGGGAAGAGATCAAAATTGTTCTTTTTTCCCCTTTTTGGGATGGGGTGCATTATTTAGTACTTAACTATTTTTTATTTGCCAAAAATTAGAATTTTGTAGATTTGGAGATCTTCATCCAACGACCTAAACCCATTCCTCCTCGTACAAATACCCCAAATCGAAACCCTAATTTCATCCTACCCGCCCACAGCCGCCGCCGCCTTCGTCCTCCTCGATTTTGCAGCCTCCTCACTGGATCAATCCGCTTCCCACCTTACTCGCACCCACCACCTTCATCATCCACGGTTCCGGCGACCTTCATCCTGGATCACGGGGACTCTCCTGACTCAGGTGAATACCTTTGCCCTAACCGCCAACTCGTAGATCTTCATCCATAGACCTTATATCCACCCTCTTCATACAAACACCCAGAATTAAAACCTAACTTCATCCTTCTCGCTGCCGCCTCCATCTTCGGTTCATGCGTTCTACCCAAACTCCCCAGACTCCGAAACCCCTCCGCCCCAATCCCTAACTCGTCGTCAAGGCGGCTCTCGTCCCCACCGTCGCCCCCGCCTCCGCCATCGCGGGATTCAGAGAAGCAAGGGAGAGGAACACAAAAATTATAGAAACTTCATGTTCTGCCCAGTTTGGAAATCAATAATCAGAGGTGAGTAATTTTGTTCTTCCG